CTCCGGCACCGGCCACAAGCTGAGCGGGGACGACGACGCAGGCGCCAGCGCTGCCGCCCCCCCGGCGCCGCCCCCGGACGTGGTCTCCGGCACGGTGGTGTGGGAGGGCGCCGACGCCTCGCTGCCCACCACCAGCATCCAGCTCAGGCTGGCAGACGGCTCGCGGCTGCGGGCCGAGTTCAATCTGTCACACACGGTGGCGGACATACGCAGGTGCGCAGGAAGCTCACTCACCTGGCTGCCACCCCGCCCCTCTGGCCAGAGGGTGACCCGCCATGACCACCATGGTGGTCTGCCTCACGTTGAGCCCAAAACGCAACCGCCCCGATCAACAACCGTCGTGCCCGCCCGGCGTCTCCTCCGCCCTGCAGGTTCATCCGCGCCTCGCGTCCCGACATGGCGGGCCGCGCTTTCCGCCTGGCCACCGCCTTCCCGCAGCAGCAGCTGGACGACGACTCGGCCACCATTGAGGGGGCGGGGCTTGCCAACAGCGTCATCATGCAGAGGATGTAGGGCGGCGTATGGGGGAGCGGTATCCAGCGGCGCCTCAGATCACCGGTCGTCAGCCTGTGGGATTTAGTGGAGTGTATCGGAGCCTGGGCATGTAAACTAGGTTCACATTTCCTCCAAGAAGACTCCCTGGGGAGAGTGCGCTCAGGGCGCTGTCACTGCCATGTTGGCGGCGGTGGCGCTGCCATGCATGGGCCAGTGGGCTGCATGCATTGTAAACCCTTCCTCCAACCCAGCATGATCGTGGCTGCTGTCTCTGCCGGCCGCTGCTCGGCTAGCGTGGCGCGGCCTCCGCCCAAACGGAGACGGCTGGTGCTTTGCCGCGCCAGCGAGCCAGACGTCTGCGTGGTGGGGGCAGGAGCGGCAGGACTGACGAGTGCATATTTCGCCAGTGTCAGCGGCGCCAAGGTGCGTGCCGCCGCTTTGCCGCCACTCCCTGTGCCGCCGCTCCCTGTGTCGCCTGCTCTGTCTCTCGCTGCAATCATGGCAAGCAGTGCCGTGCCGCAGGTACGGGTGCTGGAGAAGATGGATGAGGCGGGCAAGAAGATTCTGATCAGCGGCGGGGCCAGGTGCAACGTGCTGCCCGCGGATGTCGACCTGCAGCGAGACTTTGTCACCGAGTCCAGCCAGAGCGCCCTCAGGGCGGTGTTCAGGTGCGCTTCAGGGGCCCCCAGCAGGCGCCCTGCCGGTGGGCTGCGCAAGTGCAACACTGCTGCTCCCCGGCCGCTGTCACCGTCGCCGCTGCCTCCGCCCTCGCCGTGCCCTTGCATCCGCGCTCCTCCGCCGCAGTATCACAGCCCCGCCCACCCCGCCATGCAGCACCTGGTCGCTGGACGACTGCGAGTACTGGCTGAGCGACCCTCACCAGGTGGGCATCCGCCTGGCGCTGGAGGAGGCCACCGGCAAGTACTTTCCAGCCAGCAACAGCGCCGCCGAGGTGCGCGACAGGCTGGTGGCGGCCTGCCGCAGGCACGGCGTGGAGTTCAGCTACGGCGCGGGCCTGCAGGACCTGCAGCGCCAGCCAGACGGCACCTGGCGCCTGCTGCTGCAAGGCGGCGGCAGCGTGGCTGCAGCGCGCGTCGTGCTGGCCACCGGCGGCCTCAGCTTCCCCAGGCTGGGCGCCACCGGCGACGGCTACCGCCTGCTGCGCCAGCACGGCCACTCCCTGCACGAGCCCTACCCTGCCCTCACGCCGCTCCTGGGCGCGCACCCGGGCCAGCAGCAGCTGACAGGCATCTCGTTGTATGAGGCTGAGCTGGCGGCGGTGCCTGCGGCAGGCGGCGGCGGCGGCGGCGGCGGCAAGAGGAGGGCCAAGGCCGGGGGCAGGGCGCAGCGCACGGCCATGCTGTTCACGCACCGCGGCTACTCGGGGCCGGCGGTGCTGGACCTCAGCCACCACGCGGTGCGGGCGCTGGAGCGGCAGCAGCCGGCGCCGCGCATCCAGGTGCAGTGGACGCCCCACGGCGCGGCAGACTGGGAAGGCAAGATGCTGGAGGGCGGCGCCCTGCTGGTGCCCAGCCTGCTGCGGCGGGAGGGCCTGCCGCAGCGGCTGGCCGAGGCGCTGTGCGGCGAGGCGGGCGTCCCGCTGGACAGGTGGGGGTGCTGGACAGGCTGTGTGGCTTTTGCGGGGTGGGCTTTTGGTGTCGGCGCCGCCACCTGCAGCTGTGCGGCCTCCAACCTGCGCCCACAAGCGGTGCGCTGCAGGAAGCTGTCGGAGCTGCGCAAGGCGGAGCGCGCGGCGCTGGTGGAGGCGCTCACGCGCTACACGCTGCCGGTCAGCGGCAGCGAGGGGTATGCCAAGGCAGAGGTCACGGGCGGCGGCGTGCCGCTCAACGAGCTCGACGTCAGCAAGATGCAGAGCCGGGTGCTGCCGGGCGTGTATGTGTGCGGCGAGCTGTGCGACGTGTTTGGCAGGATTGGCGGCTTCAACTTTTGGTGGGCCTGGGTGTCGGGGCGGCTGGCGGGGCTGTCGGCGGCAGAGGCGGCAGCGGCGGATGGTGAGCGGTGACGGTCGTGCCGCACAAGATGCGGCCTTCCTGTAATTGCTCTTCGTGCATGCACGCACAGGGGCTCGAAGGGCGGAGGCAGTCACCAGCCACAAATGGAAGCCAGTGCCGCCCCGCTCAGAACGCTGCGCCCTAGGGGCGCCACCCCCCAAGATGGCAGCCTGTAGCTTCTGGCCCTGGTTGTTCGTCCCGTTCGTCTCACCATGTCTTACAGAGACGATGATTACAGGGACAGGGACAGGGGGAGGGATGATCGCGGCCGTGGAGGCGATGACCGAGCAATGGGCGGTCCGCGCGACCCTCCCACTGGCTGCAGCCTGCTTGTGAGGAACCTGGCCCCCGATGTGAGGTAAGTGCACCAAGACGTGATGGCAGGCGCAGAACGGGCTGATGGCGCCAACTTGCACCTGTGCGGCACTGTGCGGCGCCCAATTGGCCAGGGCAGGGCCCCTCCAAGCCGCAAGAGCGTCGCATCATCCTCGCTGTCCTCCCTGCCCTACTTGCAGCGGCGATGACCTGCGATACGCCGCGGAGAAGTATGGGCGCGTCAAGGACGTGAGTGGGCGGACGGCCGGGGGTGCTATGGGTCGGGCCAAAAGGGTGGCGGCGAGTGCGGCCGTGCCCAGCTGTGGCCCCCTGGCCCCCACAGCAGCCCACCATTGCACTAGCTTCTGCTGCGTTGCAAGTGCAGGTCTACGTCCCCAAGGACTACTACACCGGCCGCCCGCGCGGCATTGCCTTTGTCGAGGTGGGGCCGGCCTGGCTGTGCTTGCCGCCGCATAGCCCGCCGCCACGCTGTCGTTCACGCCACCCTGCCGGTGGCCTGCCCATTCTGCCCGGCCTTACCCCCTGGCTCCCTTCCCCCTGGACCTGCAGTTTGACGACCGGCGGGATGCCGAGGACGCCAAGTACGGCATGGACCGCTCCATGCTGGGCAGCGGCGAGATCGCGGTGCAGTTTGCCATGAGGGGCCGGCGCCGCCCGGGCGAGGGCGGCCCGGGCGGTGGTGGCCGTGGCTACGGCGGCGGCGGTGGCTACGGCGGTGGCTACGGCGGAGGTGAGCCTTGGGGGTGGCTCAAGCCAGGCGCATGGGCCAGCCTGGCAGGCAGGGCAGCCAGCTAGCGTGAGGCAGTGAGCCGCCAGCTGGCTTGTGTTGCATGCGCGCTCCTCCCTCCCTCCTCCCACCCACACACCACACGCCCTGGCTTGCTTCCCCTGCAGGTGGCGGCTATGGTGGTGGTGGTGGCGGATACGGTGAGTCTGCTGGGGCGGGACAGCCGCACAGGATGGCACGCAGTCCTGCACCATACATTGGCCGCGTTGCTGATTGCCGCCAAACGCCAACCCATTTGCCCACCCGTGCCCCGCAGGTGGTGGCGGTGGCTATCGCGGAGGCTATGGCGGCGGTGGCGGCGGCTACCGCGGGCGCAGCCGGTCGCCGCGCCGCCGCTCCCGCAGCCGCTCCCGTAGCAGGAGCCGCGACAGGCGGCGTTCCCGCAGCCGCAGCAGGAGCCGCGAGGGCCGCCGCCGGCGCAGCGTCAGCAACAGCCGCTCCAGGAGCCGTGGCAGGGCTCGCAGCCCCAGCCGCAGCCGCTCCCGCAGCCGTAGCCCGGCACGCTCTCCGTCCAGGTAGGCACCATGCCAGGCTGCCCTGCTGCACGCGCCGGCGCTCCGCTGCTACGCATCGCTGCAACGCACCATGCTCGTGCCCTGCACCAAGTGCATTGCGTGCATGACGCACCTTGCCGGAGCCAAAACCACCGAGCTCCTTCCTGACTTGCATTCTGCATCGCCGCCGCCGCAGGTCGCCGGCACGGTCTGCTTCCCCTGCAAAGAGCAAGAGCCGCAGCCCCCGCAAGAGCCGCAGCCCGAGCCGCAGCCCTGCTCGCTCGAAGTGATGCGCCTGCACGAACCACGGCTGTAGCCTGGCGGCATGGATATGCAATGGCCCTGTCCATCAGGGCACCACGCGGCTTGACTGCATGCCGTTGGCATGCCTGAGGCACGGGATGCGAGGCACTTGATGCTCTTGATGCCTGGCACTTGATGCCTTAGGTAACGACAGCGCTGGCCTGCAGCAGCTGGGCCAGCTCGTGTGCTGGCCAGCTACGCTGCAGCCCCGACTTCAACTTTTTTCTCTGCCATGCCAGGCCCTCTCTCTGTGTTTGCGTGTTTGTCTGTTGTTTGCCCCTGCGCCCCTGCCCTGCTAAGGCGGGGTGTTGGAAGCGCTGCAGGGCTCGCGTGTGTGCCGAGCGCGCTGCACTCGGCGGTCCTGATGCTGATGTTGATGCTTTGAAGGGGTGCTTGATGATGCTTGAAGCGATGTGATGGCACCCCAGTGCGGATGCTTGATGCCACCTGGCTGGAGCGGCGCAACCGCAGTCGCTGAGCACATGCTTGGAAGCCGCTGTAACCTCCGTTGCAAAGTTGGTGTTACAAAGGGGCGAGGACGCTGTGTGAGGCTGGGGATGAATGTAGCAAAAGGGAGTGGATGGCAGCAAAAGGAGTAGGCACAGTGGGCTGGCATCACCGAGGATGGCGGCAAGCAGGTGGTACAGAAACAGGTGGCGGTGGTACAGAGAGAAGAAGATAGGGAAAGAATTCAGGCGAGGGCCGGCCAGCAGCGGCAGGCGGGAATCATAGAGGAGATGGGAAGTTGTGATGGCTGTGGCTTGCCAGCTGTCCCGTTCAAGCGGCCTGGGCTGACAGCGTGAAGGTGCCTGGCAGTGCTGCCTCGGCCGCCTCCACCGCCCTCTCCAGCGCCGCGGCATCCCTGCTCTCAAACTGCAGCTTGACCTGCAGCAGCGGCGGCTCGGCAACATGGCATGAGATGGGGCCATGGCTGATGGGGCAAACTGGGGCAGATGTTGCAAGCCACACCACAGCCAGCCAGTGGGTGTGGGGCCGCCAGTGGACGCACCCTCCACGGCGTCTTGCTGGCATCAGACTCCCAGGCCACGTTTGGGTATGAGCCAACGCGCACGGCAGGGTGCATGGCGGCCACAGAGCCCAGCTTGATTGCCAGGTCGCCTGCACGTGGCATGAGCAAACGGTACGACCGGTTGGTGGTGGCGGCAAACAGTTGAGGTGTGCCTAGGCCGCTGTGGCCTGCACTTCCTGCTGTTGCCCTGCCTACCTTCCCCCATGTTTGAGTACAGCACGCGGGTGTGTGCTGCAGGGCCCTTGAACCGCCCCGCGTGCGCCTCCACCATTTGCTGGAAGAGGCGCGGGATGCCTGGCAGGATGTAAGTCTGCTGGATCGCCACCAGCGGGACCCACAGTCCCGGTGTAAACAGATACTCCACACCCTCTGCAGTGTGGAAGAGGCACGGAAGCAGGAGAGGCAGAGATGAAGGGGAATGGTGGCAATGAATGCCCACCAGGCTCTGCTGCTGGCTGCCTGACCAGCAGGCGCACCATCCGTCGGCAGCTTGGCCATCCTCAGGCGAGCCTCATTGAGCTCCACGCCGCGCTGCCTGTAGTGCTCCTCCATCCGCTCCACGGTAGGCTGATGAAGCTCCAGCTCGGCTCCGAAAGCAGCTGCTATGGCCTGAGGGAGTGAGGTGATCATGAGGAGGCACACAGGCACGACGAGAGTGAGGCGGGGGATGGATGGGGCGTCTGCCAAGGCAAGCCAGCAGCGCCCAGCAAGGGGGCGCACCTCGTAAGTGATGTCGTCGTGCGTGGGGCCTATGCCGCCGCTGGTGAAGACAAAGCCGTCTGGCCCAACCCGCTCCTTCAGCCGCAGCACCGTCTCCACAATCTCTCGCTTGTCGTCGGGTATGATGCAGGCATGCACCATGTCCACGCCGCGGCTGTGCAGCACTGCAGGGCAATGCGGTGGAGGTCAGTGAGCCGGGTCCGCCAGCATGTGGTCTGTTGCATGATGAGGCAGACAGCAACTGTGAATCCGCTGCATCTAGGCGCAGCTCCCTCTCGCTGCCCTTGCCCTGCCCCGGCCAGTTTGAAGGCTTACGCTTGGCGAGGAAGCCGGTGTTGCTGTCGGTGATAGAGCCCGAGAGCACCTCGTCCCCGATGATCATCAGCGCAGCCTTGGGACCCTCTTGTTGCTGGGTGGGGCTGGCAGCAGCGGCAAAGGACCGGGCGGCCAGGTTTGCCACGCCTCGCGCCTGCGGCGGCTGGGCAGCAGCACCAGAGGCAGGCAGCGAGCGGGCGGCCAGCGCTCGCGCCTGCACCAGCGGGCATGTGGCATATCTTTTAAGTTGCTCCTGCGTCTCCTGCATGCCTTGTGTGGTCGCCAGCCGCCTGCCAGCACTGTACCTGGTGGGCCGCCACAACAAGCACGCCATCCCTATGCGCCAGGCCCCGCCACAGCGCCCGGCTCATCGTGCCCAGCATCTTGGTTTGATTGCATGTGGGCAAGGGCTCCAGCCGGTTCGAATACCGCCTGCATGGGGCAACGCCACCTCAGCGTGGGCACAAAGAAGAGGCAGGCCAAGCGTGTCCGAGCATCGGGGATTCGCCTTCTGATCTGGACATCTGGGCAACACCGAGGCCGCCCTCACTTCTGCCACACACCCCGCCGCTCGCGGCCAGCAGTGCGATCGAGGGGATCGCCGCAGCACCCGGCGCAGCCTGATCGGATGGCGCGCCAGGCGCTCCGGCTGTGCGCAGTGCTGCTGTGTGCGGCGGCAGTGCGGATAGCGGGGGCCCAGCAGCAGCGTGTGCTGGTGCTGCTGAACGATGCGGGCCTGGAGCAGAGCCACAGCAGCTTTCTGAAGGGGCTGGGCGCCCGGGGGTACCAGGTGGACATCAAGCCCATCACCGACAAGAGCCTGCAGCTGAAGAGCTGGGACGAGTGGCTGTACGACAAGCTCGTCATCCTGGGCTCGAACAAGGGTGAGCTGCGAGGGGGAGGGGCGGCGCTGGGCGGCGGCGCGCGTGGCGGGGCGCTGCTCAGCCGCTGCCGCCGCCTCAGGCGCTGCGTCCCGGTCCCTCTGTGCCTGCGTCTCCATCCAGCACGCGCTCAAGCTGCTCGCCTTTGTCCTCCTCGCATCCAGCGCTCGCGCCGACACGGTATGCCTCCCGCCCCGCCCGCTCGCGTGCGTGCAGAGCTGGGAGGCGCCGCCGATGTGGCGCAGGTGGTTGAGTTTGTGGATGAGGGCCACGACCTGCTGCTGGCGGTGGACTCCCAGGTGTCGGAGGAGCTGCGGGAGCTGGCGCAGGAGCTGGGGGTGGACATCGACGTCAAGTGAGGCAGCAGCCCGCCCCCAAGTGGGGCTGGCGTGGAGTGGTTGTGTGTGGCCGCGCACGATGCACGGTTGATGAGGAGAGGCCCAGATGCGGGAATGTGGCAGCGGAGCAGGCAGGGCTTTAGGAATAGCCATCCCAAGAGGGCAGGGCAGTCGTGCAGCAAACCCCGAGACCTGTCGCAGCTGCGCTCGTCCTCGGCTCCCCCTCCAGCCAGCCGCCGCATTCGCTGGTCGGCTGCAGCCCTGCCTCGAGCGCCTCGCCAACGCCTGGCTACCGCCGCTGGCTTGCCTGCAGGGGCCACGCCGTGATTGATCACTTCGCGTACGACTCGCAGCTGGGCGCCGCCGACCATGCGGCCGTGCTGGCCGACAGCGCGGTGCAGTCGCCGGCGGTGCTGCCCGGCGGCCTGCCGTGGCCTGTGCTCTTCCGCGGCATCGCTCTCTCGGTGCCGGCAGACAGCGAGACGGTGAGGTGGTGCCGGTGGTGCCGCTGCTGCTGCTGCCGCTGCTGGTGCCGGCCATCCCCAGCACAGCGCAAGGCCTGGGCTGCCGGCAGGCACGCCACCCTCCCCGGCTCGCCGCCTCCTCTGCCCCGCGCGCCCGCAGGCCTTCCTGGCCCTCTCCGGCTCCCCCACCGCCTACAGCGGCAAGCCCGGCGTGGCACAGACGGACGCCAAGCTGGCGGGCGGCAGCCTGGGGCTGGTGGCGCTGGCACAGCTGCGCAACAATGCGCGCGTGGCGGTGGCCGGCTCCCTCGACATGTGCTCCGATGCCGCCTATGCCGCGGCTGCCACCAGCCGCACCGGGCAGAGGTGAGCCTGGCGCTGGGCTGGGCAGGGCTGGGCTGGGCAGGGCAGGGCTGGATGGCTCCCTGCTGGTGAGCCAGGCACATCCCGTGCTGGGCTGGTCCGGGCAGGGCAGGGCTGGGTGGCTCCCTGCTGTGTGCCCTCGCTGCTGCCGCCCACTCCTCCTGCTTTCGCCGCCACCTCCCCCTGCCGCAGCCTGGGCGCCGTGGCCAACCGGGCCTTCTGCGACGCCATCAGCAAGTGGGCGTTCCAGGAGCGCGGCGTGCTGCGCGCCAGTGGGCTGAGCCACCGCGTGGTGGAGGGGGCGGAGGCGGGGGCGGTGGCGCCGGAGCGGTACCGCGTCAACGACCTGGTGGAGTTCTCGGTACAGATCCACGAGTGCGCAGACGGCGCCTGCACGCCGTACAAGTGAGACCGGGCTGGGGCCGGGGGAGCCTTGGGGAGGGGAGGCCTCCCCCTGCCGGTGGGGCATGCGGCCAGGCAGCAGGCGCTGGTGTCGGGGTGACTCGTCTGCAGGCCCATGGCGCGCCGCGGCCTGCCTGCCCGCCCGCCCTTCCTGCCTGCCTGCAGGGCGGATGATGTGCAGGTGGAGCTTCAGATGCTGGACCCGTATGTTCGCGCCACGCTGGCGCACGACGACGCGGGACGCTTTGCGGTACGGGTCACGGTGCCGGACACGTACGGCGTGTTCAAGTGGGTGCTGGAGTACCGCCGCCTGGGATATTCCTTCATCGAGCTCACTGGTGGGTGCGCCGCCGGGGGCGGCGGCGGCACCGGCACCGGCACCGGCACTGGGCAGAACGGAGCGGCCAATCTGCATCCTGCGTCGGGCTGGGGTGCCAAACTCGCGCCCTCCGCCCATGTGCAGCCAGCCAACCGACTCGGTCGTGTGCCGCATGCCCCTCCCTCCCCACAACAACGCCTTGTGTCGGCCGCCTCCCGCTGCCCCGCAGAGACGGTGCCCATCCGCCCCTTCAAGCACCACGAGTACGAGCGCTTCATCGTGCAGGCGTACCCCTACTACGCCTCGGTGGCCTCCATGATGGCGGGCTTCATGGCAGTCGGCTTCTTCTTCCTGTACACACGCTGAGCAGGGGTGTGGCGCATGTGCGCGCAGCACACCGATGGGTGCCGGGCGCCCCACCTGGTCCAGCTGGGGAGGAGCGCGGCTGCCTTGCCAGGGGCAGGGCTGGAGCGCCTGCCAGCCTCATCCCACCCTTTATTCCTGGCTCCTTCCTGATACGTCGTGTTTCTCGTTCTTCACACAAGTGATACCACAAATGCAATTCAATGCCTACACGTCGCGCACAGATCTAGTTCTCAATGCAGCGGGCAGCTGCTCCATACAACTGCTCATCTTGCCGCTGCTGACACCAGCTTGAGCTGATGCACCTCCATGCAGCCATCAGGCCGTGTGCCGCGTCTCCAGCTGCCTGTCGCCATCCCTGCCCTGCCGGACGGTCGCCCCAAACTGCTGCGGTGGCGGCGTTGGCTCGATGCCGACCCCCTGCAGCGCCTCCTCCTCTCCCTGCTCCTCGCAGCGCAGCGCCAGCACGCTCTCCAGCTGCAGAGGCAGGTCCCGCGTGTCGGTAGCTGTGCGCTGAGCGGTGGTCACCAGCGCTGCCGTTCCTGCCCAGCTTCACCCTCCTGTGCCCCCCATACCCTGCTGGCCCACCAACCTGCGGCAGCAAGTCTTCGCTGGGCACGCTTGGTAGGGAATGCACCTGCACATTTCACAAGGCAGCCCTTGTCTTCATCTGCCAGTGGCGACTGCAATCCACCGCATCCGCAAGCGCCCGCCACGAGCTGGAGTAGCAGCTGCCGCACCTCTGCCGCCTCGCGGCGCAGCGTGGCCTTGGCGCTGGCCTGCACCCGCGGGTCGGCGCTGACACGCGCCAGCCGCTGGCTGCGCCACCACGCGGCAGGGCAAGGCGGGCCGGGTAAAGGCTTGGTCTGCGGCATGCACGCATGGCACGCACCAGACGATGCAGTGGGGGGAGGCTTGCCTGACGCTGTGCTGCAGCTGGGGAGCCGCCTGGGCGCACACCTCCTCTCGCTTCAAGTAGGACGCCACAGAGGTGCGCCCCAGGGCTGGCGGGCCGCTGGAGCTGGAGGCCAGCGTGCCACAGCCGGCGGGCGCCGCTCGAGGCGTGGCCGTTGGGCTGCCCGGCGCTGAGAATGGGCTGCAGAGCGCGTGTTGGGGGCAGAAGTCAAGGCTCCAACAGCGCCTGCTGCTGGCTAGTAAGAATCGAAGCACGCACCTGTCGGGCAGCGGCTGCCCGCCGCCTCTGGCTTCCGGTGCGGCTTGCACCCGGTGCGGCTCCAGACCAGGCCTGCCCTCCCCTGGCATCTCCTGGGAGCCCTTGGACTCTCCCTCGGCGGCCTTGGACCGCCTTAACAGGTGCTTGGTGGCCTTCAGCATGCGTCTTGGGTTCCCATCAGAGGTGTGACTGACAGAATGAGGGCAGAAACTCTGAAGGCACCCAGACAACAGCAGAGGTGCCAATATTGCTTTCCAACCGCTGGTCGTTGCCAACTTGATTCATATGCCCTGATGATTTCACTAGATTGGAAGAATGGTGGTCCAGCTTGTGTCTGCGAACGCGAGCGCAGAAGGAGAGACAGCGAAGCGACAATCAGGCGGCAGCGGCAAAACAGCTGCACATGAGCAAAACGGCTGCACAGCGAAGCACGCCAGCGCCTGGGCAGAAACCGACAGAATTGATGGAAGCACCTTGCACTGTTCCTCTTCAAGTGCGAGCCAGTGTAGACATAAATAGAGTCAGGCTCGCAAGCCGTTGCGCCGGCGCCTTCCAGGCGGGCGCCACTCAGCATGATATAACATTAATCCTCGCACGAGCTCTGTCTTACCTCGTCTTCTGGATCCATGAGGGAGCATGTGCAGGCCGTGTCCAGAGCTTTGGGTGCCTTCGTCTTCTCCCTGGTGCTGGCTTTGCGCTGGGGGCACGCGCAGTTCATAAAGCCAACCGGGGGCTGGCTTTCAGAAAGCGTGCTGCCCGTTTTTGAGGAGACAACCAAGGTAAGGAAACAACCAGGCCATCTCCATTTCATGGCGGCCTCGCTGCTCGCCCCCACGCCTTGATGCCATGCACATTGATAGCAAACGCCACCCAGTGTTCGGCGCCGAAAGCCGCCAAGGGTGCTGGCTGACCCGCCGCTGCCGCCCACGTGCCAAGCCGCCTGCCGCATTCTGGCCAGTACAGCCGGCCAACTTGCCACGAATTCTGCCACCTCCCTGCCCCTGCAGGCCTTTGTGCGCGAGTGGTTCGCTGTGTTCAACCGGAACTTGAATACCACTTCCGCCTTTGTGCTGGCCCTCTTTTCAGGCCGCAGCTACCGCGGCACCGCCGCCCGGCACGCCGCGGAGAAGCAAGCGGCCTGGCAGCGCTGGTGGCAGTCGGCGGCCACTACTTTCAATGCCCTGATCGAGCAAGAGGGGCTCACAGCGGAACCCAGCGGCAGCGGCAGTGACGACAGCGGCGGTCCAAATGGAAGCCACCCCCCGCAGCGGCAGCAGGGTGGCGGCGGCAGCAGCAGCAGCAGCAGCAAGGGTGCCGCCCCTCTACGCTTGCTGCGAACGCCACGGTCCGTGCTGCAGCGCACCCCCTCCAATGGCAGCGTGAGCAATGCAAGCAGCTCCAGCCGGCCAGGCAGCCGCTGGCGCTTTTGGCGGTGGAGGCGCGGCGGCGGCGGCACAGAGGACGGCGCGCCTGCCACCCCAGACCTGCGCCGGGGTAGCGCGCTGTTTGAGCTGCCCAGCGGCTTTGCGGTGTCGCAGGTAGGTTTGTGCATGGGGTGAGGGCCGGGTCTGTTGGGGTTGTGGCTGGCCTGCGCTGGTCTGCTTGCTGCCGCACAGTCCAGGCTCACTGCCCTGTGCCGGTGCCCTGCCTCTGTGCCGCAGATGATCAGCAGGCGGGGCCTTCTGGAGGATTCGCGGGTGGGAGCTGAGGTGGCGGTGGGCCGCGCCTTTGCCGCCGCACGCCGGCTGCTTCGCCGCGTGCTCTGGCTGGATGGCGGCGGCGACGGTGGCGGCGCCAGCGGCGGCCGCCTGGCCTGCGCCGGCAGCGACACCGACAGCCCCGCCGACCTGCTGGCTCGGCGCATGCGGTGCAGGACTCCTCCCCCGCTGCCAGTGGTGGCGGAGGAGGAGGCAGCAGCCATGGAAGCAGCAGCAGCAGCAGCAGCAGCAGCAGCAGAGGGGTCTGCAGCGACGGCGCGGGCGCCGCGCCGCCGCGCCCTTCGCCCGCCGCTGAAGAGCCTGCTGCGCAGCGGGCGTCACTGGGAGGAGGACTTGAGCGTGTGGACAGCCAGCGACGTCATCCTGAGGGAGGGATACCCGCTGGAGCAGCACAGCGTGACCACATCGGGTGAGGAGGGCGGGCAGCCGGGCGGGGCCGGCTGGCTTGGTTCGCTGCCTGGGCTTTGCGACACTTCCCGCAACCGCAGGACAGCCTCGCTGAGCCCCTTGCTCCGCCGCGCTGCTTGCGGGCCCTCCCTGCGCCTCCCTTGCAGACGGCTATGTGCTGCAGATGCACCGCATCCCGCGCCACGGTGGCAGAGACGTGGTCTTCTTCCAGCATGGCGTGCTGGACACAAGCTTGGGGTGCGCATGTGCATGTGCATGCCGACCACCGCCACTCAATGTTTCATGTTGACAGCCAGCCTCTCGCTTGCCAGGCTTGCACCGCCCGCCCTCGTGACTCGCCACGGCAAACCGTGGCTGCCGCCTGGCCTGCAGTTGGGTGGCCAACGGCGTGGTCGGCTCCGCCGCCTTTGCCGCCTTTGACGCCGGCTTTGACGTCTGGCTGGGAAACTCACGCAGCAACGCGCCGCGCCTGCACATGGGTGACCGCTCCCGACGCTCCTTCACATGCCACATGCTGTGCCCTGCACCGTGTGTGCATCTGCAGGCAGCCTGCCCGTGCGCTCCGGCCTGGCCCTACTGGATGCCTAGCTCTGAGCAGATCCGTCCTTCCTGCCTGCATGCAGATGCCGAGAAGCAGGGGTCTCGTTATTGGCGGTACAGGTGCCTGGTGGGACGGGAGGAGGCGGCTGTGTCGTGCTGTACCGTGCTCTGCATCCACAACTATGCCCCTACCCTTCGACCTGCTCATTCCTGCCTGTGCATCTATTCTCCATGCTGCAGCATGAACGAGCTTGGACTGCTGGACACCACAGCAGGTGCAGCGCTGCCTTGCCACCAGGGTGTCCTCCGAATCGGGCTGAAGCGCTTGACTCGCTCTCGTGTGCTGCTATGTTCCACCCACACCCACACCCCACCCCACAACCACACAACCCCACAACCACCCTGCAGAGATCAACCACATACACAACACCAAGATGGCTGAGCTGGCGGTGCCGGGTCGCCACTCGGCAGCGGCCATGGAGCAGCAGCAGCAGATGCAGCGCGCTGCCACCGACTCGCTGCTAGATGCGCTGCGCTGGGTGGATGTGCACACACAAGGCAGCAGCAGCGGCGGCGGCGGCGGCGGCGGTGGCGGCGGCACAGGCGGTGTAGGCCCTGAGCAGGGGTCTGTTGCACGGGCTGAGCAGGAGGTTGCCGAGCAGGAGCAGCACGTAGAGCAGCAGGCGCAGGGGCAGGGGCAGCAGCAGGGGCCGCGGCGCAGCAGCGACGCGCCGCAATGGTGGCAGCGCCTGACTGGCCGCACCAGCACTGCAGCGCCGCGGCAGGACCTTGGCATGGGGCCTGCCCGCGGTGCGGCTGCCGCGCCGCTGCGCCGCACGCAGTCGGCATCGGAGCCGCTGCAGCATGCACAGGGGCAGCAGGGCGCGGGTCACATCGCTGTGCCCATCAGCATGCCGCAACAGCAGGGGCAAGGGCAGGGGCAGGGTCCCAGCAGCAGCAGCAGCAACGCAGCGGGCGCGGCGGGGCAGGATGTGCTGCCGTACCGCCTGCAGGCGGTGGGGCACAGCCTGGGCGCCGCCACCCTGCTCATCTATGCAGTGGGCAGCCGCATGCGGGGGCAGCCCCACCGCCTGCGCCGCCTCATCCTCATGAGCCCCGCCGGCTTCCACCCCACCGTGCCGCTGGTGAGCTGGCGCTGAGCTGGCGCCTCCCACAGCGCTTTGCATCACACAGCCGTGGCATGCAATTGGCTTGCCCTCCCTCCGAAGGCCGCCGCCGACGGCAGGGTTGGTTCCGCTGCCCACTGCGCCCTCCCTGGCTTGCAGGGCATGCGCGCCTGCACCTGGCTCTTCCCCGCTATTGTCTGGCTGCTGGACCGCACGCCGGGGCTGCGCGGGCGCGGCATGGGGCTGCGCCTGCCCTCCCCGCTGCTGCGCTACCTCGCCTTCAAGTTCACAATGGTGAGGCGGGGCAGGGCGGGGAGGGAGGGGCTGGCAGGGCAGGGCTCAGGCGAAGTTGCACTCGCAGGCACTGCTCGTGTGTGCTGCCCGCCGCCGGCGACCTCCCTTTGTTCCCTGACCCTGTCTTGCTGCCCACCACCGCTCCTGTCCGCCTCCCACAGGACCTGCGCCACATGCCCGCGCTGCACGATCTTGTCAAGGCGGGGATGCGGATGATGATGAGCGGCGACTCCAGCCAGTGGGATGCGGCGCTGCAGGTGGGGGCGCTCCATGCGCGTGTGCCCGCCCCCTGCGCTGCCTGGCATCGCACCCCACCCGGTAGCTGCTCTTGGAGGGGGGGCAAGCAGGCCAAGCCAGCGCAGTTCCTGCATCCGCCTGCTCGGTGCTGCTCCCGCCCTGCTTGCTCTCTCGTGACCGGCCGCTCATGTGCTCCCTGCCCCCGCAGATGCCCCACTACTCCACCTACAGCATGCCGGCGCTGAGCCTGCACTCTGGCGCGCACGTGAGTGGGCGCGTGTGCATGGACACCGCTGCTGCATGGCCCGAGCCCCTCACCTGTGTCCGCCTCCACCCCACCTCCTGACCGCCCCTCCACCTGCGCTGCTGCTGCTGCAGTTTGCGCAGTGGAGCAACGACCTGTCCTTCCGCCTGTTTGACTACGGCACCGCGGCGGCCAACAGGGAGCGCTACGGCACCGACCGGCCGCCCAGCATCGCGGGTGCGGCTGCCGCCGCTGCGCCCGTGCACCCCGACCTGCTGCCACGCCTGCCGTCCTGCGGTTCTCTTTTCCGCCCAAAGCTTTGCCTCCCCCTCTCTTCTACAACCTCCTGCCGCCCCCGCTGCCTGCCCGCGCAGACCACTACCGGCTGCTGGACATCCCGGTGGACCTGCTTGCGGGCGCGGCCGACGGCATCATCCCGCCCGCCTGCGTCATCCGCCACGTGCACCACCTGCGCGCCGCCGCCGTGCCGTGCTCCTTCCGCATCCTGCCTCTGGGCCACATGGACTTCACGCTGGCGGTGAAGGACGACATACGCCTGTTTGTGCTGGCCAAGCTGCGCCAGCCGCTGCCGTAGGATGGGAGCGGGGAGCGGCGAGCGGCGGGCATGTTCAGGCACTGCATGGATGCAGGGGACGGCACCGTTTGCAAGCCCCGCCAGGGTGCAGGCGTTGGTGTAATGCACCCGGCATTCCAACCGCAGGATATGGGTTGTGGTGCATGTGTGACATGGCGCCGCCGCCAGCTGGGATGGTGCCATCCGATTGGGCATGTTCTGCTCGTGACATCAGGACAATACTGCAACCCCACCATTGCATTGCTTTGCACTGGGAAGTCGTGTCGGGGTTCCGGCGCACTTGCGCAACACTGGCTTCCTGAGGGAGATGACGGTCCCCGATGACTTTGCTGCCAATGATAAGACAGGTTAGAGCGCCACACCCTGTTCCGGGAGGCTGCAATGAGCGGAGCTCTCTATCGGCCCATGCGCACTCCGCTGCGCTGCTCGCAAGCATTTGCAAGATGCACTAGCCGACCAGCAGGAGGGGTGCTGGCTTTGGGAGAGCGGGTGGGGGCATGTTGCGGCATGCCGCCACCTGCGGGGCCGCCCGGGACAAACACCTCCACTGTTACCTGCGCCCAACGCTCCGTGCTTCGCAGGCACCCTCACCACGGCCACGATGCACATTTTCTGTGCAGCTGTGAGTATGACAGCATCTGTGTTGCTCATGCACTGCCTCACCGCGCCCCCACGCGCCCGCCGCAGGTGGGGGCGGGCGTGCTGGGCCTGCCGTCGGCCATGTCGTGGCTGGGCTGGGTGGCGGGCCCCATCCTGCTGACCTTCTTCTACGGCACCGCCCTGTGGACGTCCCGCCTGCTGGCCGACGTCTACTGCGTGGCCGGCATTGAGCACGCTCGCTACCACCACGCAGTGGAGAACCTGCTGGTGGGTCGAGGGTTTTCCATGCACGATTAGCTGTTTATAAGCTGGTGAGAAGGAAGGGTATCTGCACGCCTCGAGGTCGGTGCCGCTGAAGCCCCGGCGCACCACCTGCCTGGTGCCGTGCAGGGCCGGCGAGTATCTATCTGGGCTACCGTGTTCCAGGTCACGAATCTGGTCCTGCTCTGCCTCGCCTACACGTGAGGCGCGATGCGGGGCGGCTCCCGCCGCGGCCGCCCTGCTTCACATGTGCTGTGTTGTGCTTGTGGGTATGCTGCTGATGGGTACGCCCCCCTGGCGGCATTGCTCCAACCTCCTCCCCCACCCTTCTGCGCCGCAGCATCACCGCCTCCACGGCAATGGTGACCATCGCTGGCGAGATCGGCAGCTCCTTCAACACCCAGTGGCAGCTGACGTGCATTGTGGCGGCCGTGGAGCTGGTCTTCTCTCAGGTGCGGCGTGCCACCAGCTCTGCTGCGCCGGCCCGATGAAGCGCAGCACGGTGCAGCCCCAACATGGCAGCCGCCACGGGTGCCGACTGCTGTCGCCACTGTTGCAGCTGCCCAGCCTGGGGCATGTGTGGTGGGTCAGCGCCATCGGCACCATCACCTCCCTGCTGTACTGCACCATCGCCCTGATCCTGGGCTGCGTGTATGGTGAGCGCCCTGCCCCGTGCCTCCCGCATGTGCCTACCTGGCAGGTGGCCCATGCCCGGCCTTGTTATAGCTTCTGGCATCGGCTTGAGCCCCGCCGACACAGCTGCCTGCCTATGCTGCCTTTCCCACATCCGCGCAGCCAGCAACCGCTTGGGCAGCGTGAGCGGCAAGAGCGCCAGCCCCTCCGACAAGGCCTTTGGCGTGCTCAATGCGCTTGGCGGAATGGGCTTCGCATGTGAGTCGGTTGCTCGCTTGCTGCACAGCCGCTGCGCATGCCAAATCCACGCCTGGAAAAAACCGCTATTCGCCTGATGTCCTCTTTTTTGCCTCCCTGTGGCTGCAGACGGCTTCAGCCCGGTGCTCCTGGAGATCACCAACACACTGAAGCAGCCTCCCAAGGCTTCCACGACCATGAAGACCTGCATCAACATCGGTGGGCTGACCTGCTGCAGGCAGGCACCGCGTGCCAGGCAGGCAGGCACCAATGTGTTGTCTGCTCCGGCTGGTCCGGCTGCCCCTGCTGGCTGCAGGGATCACCACCGCGTACTGCTTCTATATTAGCGTGGCCAGCACCGGGTATGCATCAATGGGCGATGCCGTTCCGGGGGAGGTGCTCGACGGCTTCACAGGTGCGCTCGCGCCTGCCTCCCTCCCTGCCCTCCTGCATCACGTTGCGCCCTGGCGCATGCTTGCCGGCCACCTGCAGGCCGCGCTGTCCTTGGCTGCAGCAGCGCGGCCCTCCTGCCCTTGCCCCTCCACCTGCTGCCAGGGTCCCCGCCCTGCCTGCTTGCCGCGCAGATGCGCCGCCCTGGGTGCTGATCGTGGCCAACCTGGCCATCTGCGTCCACATGCTCTCCGCCTTCCAAGTGTTTGCCCAGCCCATCTTCGATTCCATCGAGAGCCAAATCAAGGCTGTGATCATCAAGCGCCAGCTGCGCGCCCGCGCCAAGCGCGGCGCCCAGCCCGAAGCAGCCGCACAGCCCGATGGCGGCCAGGCGCCGGCCAGCCACGCTCACAGCTCCCCGCACACCCTCCGCCCCTCTCCCTTCAGCACCACCCCGGAGGACAGCTCCGCTGAGCGCGCGTCGGAGGCGGGCAAGTCCCTCGCAGCATGCGACCCGGCAGGGCTGGAGGAGGGCGCCGCGCTGGGCGGCAGGGCCTTGTCGTCGGCGCTGGGCAGCCGCCAGATGTCGGCGCGGGTGTCTGGCAGCGGCATGCAGGTCCTCAACTCGGAGCCCATCCCAGACCTGGTGCCGCTGTCAGGCAAGCCTGCCGCAGGAGGGAGCCGCAGGAGGGGCTGCGAGCCTGGCTGCCACATGACCGGCCCACCCCCTGCAAAGCCCGAAGCATGGCCCGCCCGCCACTAGGGCCTCAGCCTTCCACCGTGGCGCTGACCCGCGGCCCTGCCGTGCGCCGCTGCCGCAGGCTGGAGCCAGCCGGCGCTGCGGCGGCGCCACGGCTCGGCAGGCGACATGCAAAGTGCCGACAGTGGGCTGGCCAGGCGGGCCAGCAGGTGAGCTGGCGAGGGCACCCCACGCTGCCCTGGGGCAGTGCTTATGGGCGGCATGGAGCGGAGCCAGGTGGCCTTTCCCTGCCCGCCCGCCTGCCCGCCTGCCTGCCTGCCCGCCCGCCTGCCGCGCCAACACGTGCGCCTGCGCCTCCCTCCTGCCTTGCTCCACTCACCTGCAGCATCATCTCTGCGGGGCGGGCGGCCATGTTCCATGCCGACACAGGGGCAGCCAACGAGCACGTGCCCCTCAACGACGCAGGCTACTTCCTGCCGCTCTGGCAGGTGAGCGCCATGCCCCAGCTGGCGCGTGCCCTGTCCGCTGTGGGGCTAGACTGTGCATTGACCCGCGCTCTGCTCTGCTCTGCTCTGCACCCCCCATGCCTGCAGCGGCTGGTGCTACGGTCCGCCTATGTCCTCATCATAACGCTGGTGGCCATATGCATGCCATTCTTCACAGCCGTCGTGGGGCTTGTAGGGTAATCCTCCAATGTTTTTTTTTGGGGGGGGGGGGGGGGATGCATCTTTTTGCAAAAAACAAATGTATCTTTTTTTGTTTTTTTTCAAAAAAAACAAACCCTCGTATCCCCCATGCAGGTCACTTTGCTTCTATCCTCTGAGCATCTTATTTCCCATGATGATGTGGGCTCACGTAAGTGGCCGTCTTACGTGGGTGGCCGCATGCGTCCATTTCACCGTACAGCACCCATGCAAAATTTCAGGTGTACAAGCCGGTCGGCGCCGTGCGGGCTGCTCTGTGGGCAGTGGGTTCCTTCATGCTGCTCATATCATTGGGAGCCGTGGTGGGAAGCGTCCAGGGCCTGATCAGCTCCTGGCAAACGTTCGAGTTCTTCGCGTAATGAGCGCCTCCAACTGGGCTGCGCAGCTCCCTCCCATCGGTGGCTCCTACGAGAATCTACATTCCCTGGCGCCAGTATTGATCATTTCCAGTGCATTCTTGTTGTCATGAGTATCTAGCGCAGCAAAATGCGCCTTGTCAGACTGAAGACACCCAGCTCCAGCAGAGGGGCGGGAGGAGCGCAGCGTGCGCAGCAGCGGCAAATTGGCCAACATGTTCAGCCCGCCACAGGCCGGAGCTGTGCTTCAGTGACGGTGTCGGATCTGTCTACAAGTTGTAGGGGAGCTGTACTTCCGCCATAAGCGCGCCAACCCGACACAGCGCCACACCATGTTCCCCCCGAAGATTTTCGTGGTGGCTTGCGCCCTGATCGCATGCTTGGAAGTCGGAGAAGCGCGCACGCTGAAGCAGGCAAGGGTGTCCGGGTGCTGAAAGGACTTCGGGGGACCCTCGACCATCAGCCGTGCGTGCCGCCCCGGGAGTCCGGCGCTCCCAGGCGCCTCCCCATGAGTGCGATGGCATGAAAGTTCCAGGGTCAGCCCTCCCCGACACACGCCTGGGGGCCTGAGACCAGCCCGCATGTACTGCCACCATTGGTCCGCCGCACCGTGCGGCGTCTCCCCCCAGCCTCTCTGATCCCCCCTGCCTTCCCCCGACCCCTCCCTTCCTCCTGCCCCCCGCCACGCAGACCGGCACCACCTCTGACTTCACCAAGACCGCGGAGACCTACATCGTGTCCACCACCCTGGTCAGCTCCGGCGCCACCGCCGAGACCGCCGACGCCTGCATCACGCTGTGCCTCAACGACGCCAACTGCGTCTACTGGTGAGGGAGGGAAGAAGGGGAAAGGGAGGGAGGGAGGGAGGGAGGGGAGGAGGTGGTGCCAGCGCTTCGAAGAGCCCAGCGCTCGCTTGACCACTTGAGGGGCAGCCCAGCCGCGGCGCTAGCCCAGCCCAGCCCAGCCCAGCCCACAACCCACCCAGCCTTGCCCCTCCCACCCCCACGCAGGTCGTGGTGCCCCGCCACCCAAACCGCCGGCTGCTCCGTGCCTGGCATCGCCGGCGCCGCCGCCTCCACCGTCACCGCCAAGGGCTGCGTGCTGTCGTACGACGAGACGGAGGACAGGATGGCGGTGTATGCCGTGTCTGGCGCTGGCGTGACCTTCGAGGGCGGCAAGTGAGTCGCGGGCTGGCCAGGCGCATGGCGCAGCATGGAGCGGAGCTGGCTCCTCTAGTGCCTGCCGCCGGGCCCCCCTCAGGTGCCCCGCCCGCCGCCCACCACCTCCCACGCCGCCCGCCCCCAGCCGCCCGGCCACCCAGCTTTACCCCCGTGGCATGCCGCCTCACCCCCTCCCGCTTGCCACTCTTCCGTCCACGCGGCGCCGCAGGTGGAACCCATCCAACACCGCCCCCACCACCACCCCCGGCGCCGCCGTCAACGCCTCCGACCCCGCCTCCTGGATCGACCCCACCGGCACCCCCTCTGAGTGCACCGGCTTCTGGTCGGGCAACCAGTGGTCGGGCGACGAGATCGAGTGCCACATGTGCAGCGAGGACTGGCAGCTCAAGTGAGCACGCCGCCCCGCCACGGCTGGCAGCCGCCAGCAGCACGCCGCCAGGCTGCCCCCGCCCTTGCATGCGTCTCCGCTCCCGATCG